TAACTGTATATTTTGTGGGTGAAACGTGATAGCCAATTGCACACAGCAGCACTTTTTAATTTTTTTTTAAATGGTGACCACTATGAGATGGAAGTGAACTCCCAGGAAGTGAGGCTTGAGATTCTGCACAGAACAGCTGGTCGTTGCACTCCTCCTCTACTATAATAATCCAAGCTGATATTTGCAGAGCAATACAGTAAAGTATAGCATGTAATGTGTATCAGATTAAATACTGCAGACACCAATATCTATGGCAACATCTGCACTATTAGATGCTTAGAATACACAGGCTTCACCTGACTGTGTTTGGGGTTTTATGTTATGGTATAAAAAGGGGTGACTTTTATAACAATCCTGTAATTGGAGACCTTGACTGCAATAATTTATTAACAAAACAAGCTATTTAAAGAAAAGTTGTGTTTTATGAACACTGCAGTATGGTGGGTGAATTGAAAGGGGGGTATATATCAATTTCATAATAATAATTAAAAATCCTCTTTCTTGTCTGAACCACAGGAATGAAATAAGACTTCAATGCGATCGTTATAACAATTCCAAATGCGGACAATGTTAAAACTGCAGTAATATTTGCAGATTAATCTGCATGACATTTGTACGTACCTTTACCATTAATGATCCCTGGGTGAATATTTTCGGGTTGTATATGCAGTACTTCAAATCTGTGTATTTTTGTATCATTCACATAATTAAAACATGCTCATGTTTGATAATAGGTAAGCAATACTGGCAAGTATGAATAAAATCCACATTATCCTCAAACAACAAATCAAGAATGTGCAATATTCATTGTTGCTATTTAAGGAGAGTATTGATAGCATCTAGGAAATACTGTAGACTGTAAAAAGCAAATTAACTGGTCATCTTTAGGTATGCATGGGACTTGTTCTGTTCATTGGGATCCTGGCCTGACATGATCATATCTGTGAGAAACTGAGTCAAATACACTGCAGCTACTTCAGCTTCACGCTATAATCAACCTTTAAAGGTGAATCTTTTTTGGACAGCTGGGTTTATTCCTTTGTTGGAATCTCACTAAAAATCAAACAGCTATGAAGGTTATTGGAGTCCTCTAGCTCAGTGGTGAGAGCACTCGCCTTGTAAATGAGAGACCTGGGTTCAATTCTCGGACATGGCAAAATGTTGGGAAAGTTTCCTTACCCCACCCGCCTCTGTTAACCTAGCAGTAAGCAGAAACCCGGTTGTTGGTCAATTGGCAGATCGTTTTTCTGGGGATAATAATTACTTAAATTTTTTTTAAAAAATTGGTTACTTCAATCCACGACTGTTTGTGGGACACTGTTGTGCGCAATTGGCTGCCGCGTTTCACCCACAAACTATACAGTCAATTCACTTTAAAGTATAGTCTGTGAAGCCTTTGAGACGTCTCGAAGACGTGAGAAGGCATTATATCAAATGCAAGGATTACTATTATTACTGAGAAAAAACTAGTTTACAGTATAGAAATGAAACATTAACAGAAACTTCATCCCATTTCTCATGATTACATGAAAACATTGATCTAGGTTCATCCCTAAGATGCCCATCGATTAATTTCCAGCATTTTCTGACTCCCCTTCAGGGCTTTTTATTTAATAGCTAAATATGTTGTTCTATTGCTTTTTGCTGGCAAGTACTGATGACTTGAAGGGAACTGTCTTGAAGGAATTTTGGTCTGATTATATCTGAGATCTGAATTAGGAAGAGCCCAGGTATTTTGCTCACCGGTTTTCTGCAGTTCTTAAAATTATTTTTTCCCCAAATTAAGACTGAATGTAAAAAAAAATTCAATTCTGTGCAATCTTAAAATTTTAAGACAAAAAGTTGTCTTACAGGCTGCGAACAGGAGGAATTTTAGGCTTGGATCTCCAAATAATGATCATCTTAAATGGACAAAGGCAAAGATGTATTAAAGATAATCACAATTTGTTGTAAATATTTTCTTTTTAATATAGGAGCTGATGCTGTGATTCCTCTTTAATAAAGAACTGACCCTGTTAATATAAAGTTCCTGTTTTCTCTGTTTTAAGTAAAAATCCCTGAATTGTCATGATTCTCAGCTATCACAGGAATATAGGTCTGTTTCCACCTATTCGTGAAGTCCTGTAGCTCAGTGGTTAGAGCACTCGCCTTGCAAGCGTGAAACCTGGGTTCGATTCATGGCAGGGTGAAACTTTTGACAAGTTTCCTTACTCCACACGCCTAATAATAATCCCTCAAGAAAAAACAAAACAAAAACAATAAAATTGGTCACTTCAATCCACAACTGTTTGTGGGACACTGCTGTGCACAATTGGCTGCCGCATTTCGCCCACAAATATACAGTAAAATTCACTCTGCAGTATATTCTGTGAAGAGCTTTGAGATGTCTAGAAGACGTGAAAAGCGCTATATCAAATGCAAGGATTATTGTTATTATTTATTTAGGGACTGGCTGCCATGCTGCTGGAAGTTTCCGCAGCAGAACATTATGTAAGGAAACCAATGATAGCAGGAAGACATTTCAAATGTTCGGCAGAAAAGACAGAAATAGCTTCTATATCTCAGCCCTGTCAGCACCAGGCAAAATACTAACTGAACGTTTCTTCTAGAGCCCCAAATAAGAACAAATTACTTTCACGTCGGCAGGACATCCCAAGAAGCTGAAATAGCAGAAACTATGAGCTATTTTGTATATCATTGATGAACAAAGGTGGAAAACCAAATTGCTTTGGATCCAATGTAACACTAATCCAGTCCAGTATCATATAATCACTGTATTCTCCCTCCCCAATCCCACTTGCTACCTGCTTTCATTCAAATAATCTTAGCAGCAGTGCAGTGTCTGGAAACTACTGTCTAGGCTGCAAAGGACAGTCCATGACTGTTTGTCGGACACTTTTGTGCGCAAATGACTATCGCTCACAAAATATAGTCAATTCACTTTGCAGTATATTCTGTGAAGCGCTTTGAGACATCTCAACGATGTAATAAGGTGCTATACCAAATGCAAGGAATACTATATTATTATGATTTCCACTGCTTATTACAACCAACAACCAAGCAATTTGAAAGGTCTGTGCATTCCACGACTAAAAGTAAGCATAAAATTACAAAAATATCTCTAATGTCATTGAACATTTAACATGCATGGTTGAATGAAACTTACTAATGAGACTCACCGTGAACAATGGCCTTTAGGGAGAGATAATGAAGGGCTGCCAGCGAGACGTTCCTCCGAGATAATCCACAGGGGTGGGGTGGGGGGAATACAAGAGTAATTGACATAGCATATCTAGGGTAATAGAATTGTATGGCAGAGAATCTTACAACATCACAGTTGGTGTTGAGCATTACACCATAAATTTTACTGCAAAATACCATTTTCCATATTAACAGCAACAATACAGACTGAGGTTTCACTGTTTATTTTGTGTAACATAAGGGTGAAAATTACGATGTTTTAAACAGATTCGATGATTGTTACACAGGGTCTTCATTTCTTATGTTTCACCCCATAGTTGATCAATTGATGGTTCTTAATGGTAACACTACAAATAATGAGGTCCAACTATTTGATTTTAGTTGTGTGCTCCACAATTCTTTGATTTTGAAGGACTTTGAGACTCTGATTAAAGATGTGTAACTAAAAGGGAGCTTGTAGGATGATTGCAAAGCAGCTTGAGTAAACCTGAGCTTGAAATTCCATCTATTTTTAGCTTGTAAGCCAATTCTGTTTCAAAACGAAAGATGATGCTGAACTGTGGTAAGAAATGTTGAAAATTGGCTTTCAAATTAAGCATGGCTTGTTAAATATATTTCCTGGTGTCCTGGGAAAACTTCAGTGTCCTCCGGATAAAATTGGTCATTCACTTCATGGCTGTTTGAGACATTGTTATGGGCATAAATGGCTGCTGTGTTCACCTAACAAAATTCACAGTCACTCTACAGTAAATTTTGTGAAGTGCTTTTGATGAGGTAATAAGGCATAATATCAAATGCAAGTATTACTGATATATTTTCTACAAACTTGCACAAGTTTTCAGAACTACATAAATAACGTTAAATTAGGGGTATGAGTTATAAAATCAAGATTTTTCATTGCATTTTAAACTCATGGGTTTAATAATATGGTTCTTCCTAAAAGATTTTTTAATGCGAGTTGTTTAATTTCTGAAGTTTCTGAAGCATTTTAAAATATATTCAACAGCACTTTCAATGTTTTCAGCATTTTTTNAATTAAAAATTCTAGGGGATTGGACCCCAATATTTTTGTAGATTCAAGCATTTGAAGGGGAGGCATCCATTTTAATAGTTCACTCATGAACACAATCACTTCTCTTGTTAAGAGCTCTGGCTCTTGAACAGCCCAGTTGAAAAGTGCTCTTGAAATTTGGATGGGAACATAATTCTGGTTAGTTTGTACTGTGTTGTGTGTTTTTTTTAAAGTTTTGTTATAAAAATCAAAACTTTTATAACAATGATGTATTTTACATAATAATAATCCTTGCATTTGATATAGTGCCTTATTGTATCTTCGAGATGTCTCAAAGCGCTTCACAGAATATATTTTCAGGCTCATATAGCGCCTCATCATGTTGTTGAGGCATCTCAAAAAGCTTCAATGTATATACTTCACAGTCAAGTGGATTGACTGTGCATTTTGTGGACGAAACATGGCAGACAGTTTGTGCCCAGCAATAGCCACAAACAGCTATAGAGTGACCAATTTAATTTATGAATTAAAGCATAACTGTTGAATAATTTGGTGACCATATTAACATTACCCAGAATGCTCAGAATAAAGTGAGATGACGTGCCTGGGGGTGACTAAATACACTTAATCACGGCCAAAGACGTCACTGGCACTTTGTCCTGCATTTTATTTCACACTCACAGGAACACTTGGTTCAGTGCATTTGACAGAAGATTGGTTGAAAGTGAACTAAGGAAGCTCCCCTTCCAAAACTGGATACAATGCCATCTGAATTAAACAGCCACCATTACAGCGACTTAATTTATTATCTAAATAAAGAGGACTTGTATTTCAGTTTCTGTGTATAGTCATGATCGAACACACAACAAGCAGAAAGTTTCAATTCTTTTCTTCACGTCATTTCGACATTGTTTTCAGCAGAGAGTTATAGCTTTGTGGTGCTCTCCTGTGGCTGGAATCCTTCTGTTTGCAGTTTTTCTTTATACTTCAAAAAGTCTCTTCTTTTGTCAAAATACTTTATCTGGTGAGAAAGCAGGGTTGGTTATAGGATCAAATTTGAACAATAACTTGCACAATAACTTTCACATAAAAGAATGACTGAAGCACTTAATCAATCTAGTGGTGGACAATAGAGCAGGGAACTGAGAGATTTATAGATGTTGACAAAAGGCACGGCTGAAGAGATACATTTAAAAGGTTTTTCAAAGAGAGATTTTGAAATTGGAGTTCAGAGCACAGGAACATGATGGCTCATTCATTGTTGGCGGAGCATCAGGAGTGGGCAATGAGGAATAGACAAGAGTCAGAAGAGAGGAGGGCACAGGCTGGAATAAATTGAATGGGAAGGGTGGATACGATCATGAAGTCATTAGAAGACCGATCCTCTGACATGCAGGGTTTGACTAAAGCTTGGTGAGGATGTGCAGAATTTTATGCTGGAGAGAACTTGAGCTGCAGAATTCTGGTTCAATACTTGGGAGTGGAGCTGTGGAGGCTGTTGAGAAGAGTGTGAGAAAAATCTATCCTTGAGGTCAAATGACCAACTAGTGACTATCCTCCTCAGGGGTGGAGAGTAAGTTAAGCAGGGTCTCTTTGGGGCTGAGCTGGCTTCAATGTGACATGCTTGGCAATGAAATATCAGCATTGAGTTCAACTCTCTGAGGCAGTATCAATAGTCCAGCTCTTGAGCCATGCACACTTGCAGTACTCCAAGGACAACTGTTGACAAATTATCCAGGCTGGCTTGTTGGCAGGACTTGGGAGAGGATAGACCTGTTGACCTTGCAAGCCAAAGTCTTAATGGCTAGGGTTTGTCTAAATGGACAAGCAACAGGAAACTTGCCAGACTCTGTTTACAACGGCAACCTATGCAGTTGTTACTATGAAAGGGCAATGCTTTGGAGGTCACCATGGAGGAAAGTGACAGAAAACAATGGAGTGGGTAAATCAATATCACCAAAAGGGGTAGAGAGCTAACACACAATGTAAGCTCACAACGTATGAGCACTTTTACTGTCTCTGAAAGCAAACCCAATACGAGCTGGCTAACTTCAGAAAATGAAGATGGCGATATCAAAATGAGTTTTGTGAGAGGAAAAAGAAAGTACATTTGACAAAGTTATTCCTTCAAAGTTCTGTTTCCCTTTAAAATGTCCCTGATTATCTTCTCACTCCTTTTCAAATCCCTTCATGCTCTTGCACCTCCCTCCTATCTGATTTCCTTATCCCCCACTCCACCACCCACTGCCTCCGCTCGGCTGGCTTTGGCCTCCTGTTTGTCCGTCGTACCATCCGCTCCACCATCGGTGGCTGTGCCTTCAGCCACTACGCCCAAAACTCTGGAACACTCTCCGTCAATCCCTCCGCCCTGCTCCCCCCTCTCACTCCCCACTTTCAAATCCCGCCTAAAGACCTTCCTTTTTGATGCAACTTTGTATTGTATTGTGCTCATGGTCACCTGCCCACTCCTTCTCTCACTGGCTCAGGGTCAGACTCCGCTACCATCAAGAGCTCCTGGACGCTACCCCAAGTAGCAAGATGTTGTCCCTGATTATACATTGCAAGGAATTTCAGTAGGTTATAGGGATTAGACATGTTGGAACATATTGGTGGTATAACTACATCTACATGGAAACTAACACACAATCAATTTCTAATTAAAATATGCAGAGAAAGACATTTTTATACAGTGAAAATGCTGATTTTCAGCCCCATAGTGTGTAGCATTACACCTCACCAATTCTCGCTATGAGACCACATTTACACCGCATATGAAGCAACATTAATCAACAAGCCCGCAATTTTATCCTTGTGGGTTGTGTTGCTGAATCCACCTGTGCAAATATCATTATCAGCAACATCCACAGAGCATCTCACCGATACCCTTTCAGTACTGCTTGGACAGACTCCTGCCAATGCGAACACAAAGCGCGCTATTCTAGTGTTAATTTAACAAGCGTATTACGACATTCAGATCATTCGCTTAAAACGATTTGGGCTGCATATCAAAGAACTATGGTGCTTGGTTCTATACACTCAAAAATAATTCCACACACCCTATTGAACTGATATTGTGCCTTTCACATCTGAAAGGTGTATCAAAGAGCTTCACAGGATTTATTATGTCAAATGCTTCATGAAAGAAAATGAGTCTCTTAGAAGCCTCAGAATTATATAGTGCATCTTTTTGTCATCCATAATTACTTTGAAATGTAAACATATGCTCAGTTAATATCTCTATTGAAAGGAGGCAAGAAGGTGCGTTTCTGGGATAGACGGGGGGGGGGGGGGGGGGGGTGGATCTGACTGCTGAGGCAATTTGTCTGGCAATGTTCCACAGGCCTGAGGTAATCCATTGCATACTTATGGTTGGCAGATTAGTCTGGCTCCTTAATGAAACTCAAGAGATGCTGTCATGTCATTGATTCTGATAGCTGAAGCTCCCAACACTAACAAGTAGCATGCTAAGTGGTTACGGCTATCATACTCTTAAACTTACCCATTGCTGAGGGCAGCTGCCTTCAAATTCTTTTCTAAACTTCTGACACTCTGAAGAATCTTTGTCCTGTTTGTCCAGACACTGCCAGTACTGATCCCTTGCTCCCCAGCAGGCCTTCCTCTCCTCTGCTGTTGGAGCAGACATTCTTACTGTGAACTTGTGTTTTTAAAACATTAGCACAATTGCTATAAAGGAAAAAAAATCAGTTGTCAATACACATTAACATTGTTACCAGCCAGACTGACTAGTGTTATTTTTGGTGTTGTACACGTAATAATAATCATTATTTCATTTGATATCCGTACCTTTCACATCTGAAAAACGTCTCAAAGAGCTTCACAGGATTTACTGCAAAGTGAATAAAGTGTAATGACTGTGTATTTTTAGGTGAACTTGACAGCCAATTTGAACAAAGCAATGTCCTATTGACAGTCATGAAGTGAATGATCATTTTTATCTGGAGGATTACTGGCCAGGAAAATGAAAGAAACTCCCTTCTCTTTTTGAATAGTATCATGGTATTTTTTTTTAATTCTACCTGGATAGGCAGATGTAACCGTGGCTTAGCAATTTATCCAAACTCACCTCTAACAATGCAGCTCACTCCAGGCACTGTATACAGTGTAAACTCGGATTGTAAGTTCAAAGTCCTGTGTGGGGCTTTAACCCACCTCTGACTGATAGGTGAGAGTGCTTCCAACTGAGCCAGGCTGACACCTGAACTGTACTTAAACGTACTGGATTTTCCAAATCACCTCTTGTAAGATGTTCATAATTCATCACTAACAGCATTATTATCGCCAGGTGCAGTGCAGCCGCTATGGTTTTTCAGCGCCTTGGGACGTCCTCCCGATGTGAAAGGCGCTATACAAATATAATCTTGTGTTGTTGTATGGGTTGATAACATGGATGCCCTGTGGACCGAAATCATTGTGCCTGGATCCAGCTGGTCTGATTGCTTTGTGCGTGCCGGCCAACTTTCACAGTAAAATGGCTAAAATGACCAATAGGTACAATGTTAGATCTTGCTTTGCTGTGCATGTGCAAAGCAGAAGTGGTGTTGGTGGTGATCTAATGACCCAGGATCAGACATTTTTACATCCTTTATAGCGAATAGGAAGCAACATTGGCAGTGCCTTGATGACCCAGAGGTCAGCTGGTTTGTTATTTAGCACAGGAACCACTGAGAGTAGTGGGAGGGAACCTGCAGGCTGATGACGATGATAATAATAATAATAATACTACATTTGGTAAAGCGCCTTTCACAATAGGTGTGCTTCATAGAATATACTGAAAAATGTAGTAACTATATATGACAACTCACATAAGTCGTATCAGTCAGGACCATAGCATTTAATGTGACTTACGTGAAGACCGAGTTGCACGCAAACTATATAAATTATATTAAATCCAAATTAATCAATAAGTCTTCACTCTGCATGCATAATTCAATGCAACTGGTAAGTATGCCATCCTGACCTGGTGCCGCATGAGTACTTACCGGCAAGCATTGGAATCATATTGAATTGCGAGAAATGAACTTCTTCTGTGCATTTGAATGGATCAAGATTATGTTTCCCACGATTCAATGCAGCCAGACAGTAAGTGCGCATGAGCCGACGGGTCAGGATGTAATTTCCTGCAATTCAATGCAGCCGGTAAGTACACGCTAATGGAGGATAGGGGAGCAGTGTTACAAGTCAGGAGGTGGTTAATATGAGCTGTGCAAAGAAATCTAAATGGTGCTGATAGGAAACAGAATGGGACTTGGGTGAATATATGACTTAGGCGATTATATGAGTTATAAAGATTAGACTTATGTGAGTTTAACTGTATGTTTTTTATTCGCGGTCAATCGCTTTTGCCAGTTTGCTCACGACAATGTTCCACAGACAACCATGTTGTAACAAAAATGCAGAGGTACTATCAACCCCCAAATCTAATAAGCATATCACACACTTACAAGTTCAGCCTGCTCTCCCTACCTGTGAAACATGAAAATATCATGAATCCCAACTGGGAATGAAGATGAATTTTGTTTAAACAAAGTACAGCAGAGTAAATATTTTGCACACATGGCCACACAGATATATCAGTGTATTTAAAGGCTACAAGTGGTTTTAGTTCATTGTCCATAGTTATCTAGCACTGTGCTGGTCATTGCCAGTCAAGGTCACACCAATGCAAGCAGCAAATTTTAATTTTTGCAGAATAACAAGGGCCACAGATTTTATTTCAAGCCCAATTCAATGAGCATTTCTTGCACTGAGACCCAGACATTGGGGGAGAAATTCCACCTGGATCCTGATTTACTGTATTTCCATAGCATTTTAGGAGTGTCCAGTGTTAACAGATGTTTGAATTCAAGTCTTAACATTAAGGCCATTTTTATATAGTTCTTAAAAAGAAATGCACAGGACGCTGGCTAATAATGATAATAATTCTTACGTTTGATACGGCACCGTATCACGTTGTCAAAGCATTTCAAAGCACAGGAATTATTGCAGAGTGCAGTGACTGTGTATTGTGGAGGCGAACGCTGCAGCCGGTGTGCGCGCAGCAACTTATAATAATATAATAATAATAATCCTTGCATTTGATATAGCGCTTTTCACGTCGGGAGGACGTCCCAAAGCGCTTCACAGAACACACTGTAAAGTTAATTGACTGTATATTTGTGGGCGAACGCGGCAGCCAATTGCGCACAGCAATGTCCCACAAACAGTCGTAGATTGAAAATGACCAATTTATTATTGTTTTGGTTTTGGAGGGATTATTATTAGGCTCTGTGTGGAGTAAGGAAACTTGCCCAAGGTTTCGCCCTCTGCCTGGAATTGAACTGGACAGGCGGACCGGACCCTGGCAGTGCAGCAGCCCCCGCACTGCCATCAGGCCGGGCCTCGGGCCTCGGGCCCCCACAAACCTTCATGACTCGGGCGGGTTGTTTTGAGAACTTGCCGAACTTTGCTGCTAAAATGCCCAAATGCTCCATCAACGTGTGTGAGTGTGAGTGTTGGTGTGAGTGCTCGGGGTCAGGGCAGTGAGAGGCGCAAAACCCGCGACCGCGACACTGACAACAACTCCTGTCTGTAATTACCTGTGTTTCACCCCCAGGACACACGGACCTGTGGCAGAGCGGACCCGGAACTGACGACGCGGTCCGCGCGGCTCCGGGGACGGCTTCACCGGCGGGACCGGCTGAGCTGGTGTCACGTGACGGGGGGAAAAAGGTGCGTGCGCACCTTGATCGACTGCCTCGCCTGTGCGGCAGCAACAACAACGACACTGTGAACCGCCCTTCTCTCGTCGGGAGGAGGCGCCGCACTGACAGAGTTCAGGACCCGGGTCCGGGGTCGGGGGGGGGGAAGCGTGGGGGGGGGATCAGGGGGGGGGGGGGGTCGAAAACACGGTCGAAGAGAAGGGTCTTGAGATGGGTGTTGGAGGTGGTGAGGGAGGGGGTGAGGCGGAGGGACTGCCGGATGGTGTTCCAGGGGGTGGGGGCGGAGAGGTGGAAGGCCCACCCGCCGCTGGTAGGACGAGCGATGGGGGGACATGGAGCAGGCCGGAGCCGGAGCCGGAGCCGGAGCCCGCTGAGGGTGGTAACGGGGTTGAGGAGGGCGGAGAGGTTGGGGGGGAGCAAGGCCAGGGAGGGCTCTGAAGGTGATGACCAGGACCTTGAACTGTATCCTCTGTGTGATGGGAAGCCCCAGTGCAGTCGGGCGAGGACGGGGGTGAGAGGATCCTGGTGCGGGAGAGGACACGGGCTGCAGAGCTCTGGACGGTCTGCAGCCGCCTGTGGCGGGAGGAGTTGGGGGGAGGCCGACAAACAAAACGACAACTACCACGAGGTGCCCCTGAGGGTATCAAGTGCACACAGTGTACACAGGCACATAGTAATAATAATAATAATAATAATAATAATCCTTGCATTTGATATAGCGCTTTTCACGTCGGGAGGACGTCCCAAAGCGCTTCACAGAACACACACTGTAAAGTGAATTGACTGTATATTTGTGGGCGAACGCGGCAGCCAATTGCGCACAGCAATGTCCCACAAACAGTCATGAATTGAAAATGACCAATTTATTATTGTTTTTGGTTTTTTGGAGGGATTATTATTAGGCTCTGTGTGGAGTAAGGAAACTTGCCCAAGGTTTCGCCCTCTGCCTGGAATTGAACTCAGGTCTCTCACTTGCAAAGCGAGTGCTCTAACCACTGAGCTACAGGACTCCACCATAGTAATGCTGCAGATGGCAGGAATCTATGGCTTAAGGTCACAGTAACAAATATTACAATGGTATCGACCAAACCTCAGCTATATGTAATAATAGCCCACTGCACAGAAGCACCCTGGTCAAAGTCACTAACAACGTTCTGGACAACTGTGACCAGGGCTCCCTCTGCCTCCTCCTCAACCTCTCTGCTGCCTTTGACACTGTCGATCACTCTATCCTCCTACACTGCCTCTCCTCTTAGCTCAATCCTCGCGGACCTGCCCTTGCGTGGTTCGAATCCTACATCTCCCACCGTCTGCACTTTGTCTCCACTAACGGCTTCTCATCCAGCCCCCGCACCATCATGTGTGGCGTCCCTCAGGACTCTGTCCTTCGCCCTCCTTTTCAATATCTATATGCTCCCCCTTGGTGACATCATCTGCTGATAGGGGGTCAACTTCCACATGTATGCGGATGACACCCAACTGTATCTCTCTGCCTCAATCTTGGATTCCAGGACCACTGCTGTCCTCGCAGACTGTCTGTCGGACATCAACAACAACAACAAAGTTACATTTATAGAGTAACTTTCACATCAGGAGGATGTCCCCTGGACTGTCGGGTCAGGACCCGAGCATGGGGGAGGGGTGGGGGAGGGGTGGGGGAAGGCAGAGAGATGGGAGGGCGACTGAAGGCACAATCGAAGAGAAGGGTCTTGAGACCGGCCTTGAAGGAGGCAAGGGAGGAAGCGAGGCGAAGGGACTGTGGGATGGATTTCCAGAGTGTGGGGGCAGAGAGGCTGAAAGCCCGGCCACCAATGTTAGGGTGGGTCAGGCGGGAGACCTGGAGCAGGCCGGAGCCTGCTGAACGGAGGAAGCAGGCAGGTTGGTAGGGAGTCAGCAGGTCAGAGGAAGGAGGGGCAAGACTATAGATGGCCTTAAAAGTGGGGACGAGGATTTTGAATTCGATCTTCTGAGGGATGGGGCACCAGTGGAGTCGGGCGAGGGTGGGAGTGATGGGATCATGGAGCCTGGTGCACGAGAGTACATGAACTGCAGAGTTTTGGATGATCTGCAGCTTGTGAAGGGAAGAGTTAGGCAGGCCGATGTGGAGGGAGTTTCCATAATCGAGCCTTGATGTGACGAATGTGTGGGTCCTGGATGAGAGCTAACTTCCTTCAGTTGAATGTCAACAAGACCGAGGCCCTCCTGCTTGGCTCCGGTCTCCGATTCCATACCTTGGTCACTGACAGCATCTCCCTCCATGGATGCTCTCTATATTTCACGAACCTTGGAGTCCTGTTCGACTCTCAACTGTCCTTCATACCCCACATCCGTGCCATGGCCACCTCCACCTTTCCCTACCTCCGCAACATTGCTAGGCTCTGCCACTGTCTCATGCTGCAGGATGCTGAGGCCCTCACACGCGAATTCATAAAATCCAGGCTCGACTGCCTGTTTGTCAGCCTCCCCAACTCATCCCTCCGTAGGCTGCCCTTCAAGCTGCCCTTCCCTTCAAAAAAAAACAATAATAAATTGGTCATTTTCAATCCATGACTGTTTGTGGCACATTGCTGTGCGCAATTGGCTGCCGCGTTCGCCCACAAATATACAGTCAATTCACTATACAGTATATTCTGTGAAGCGCTTTGTGGTGTCTAGAAGACGTGAAAAGCGCTATATCAGATGCAAGGATTATTATTATTAAGACCTGTCTCAAGATCCTCCTCTTCGACCTGGGTTCGATTACCCTCATTACCCCCTGTCCCCCACCCTCCCCAATCCCCAGCTCGGGTCCAAAACATTGATTGTCCAGTGCCTTGGGACGTCTTCCCAACATGAACGGAGTTATACAAATGTAATTTTGTTGTAATAATAAGTCTTGCATTTGATATACAATAACAACTTGCATTTATATAGCACCCTTCATGTGGGGTAGCGTCCCGGAGTGCTTGACAGTGGCGGAGTCTGATATAGCACTTTATCAAGTCATCAAACTGCCTCAAAATGCTTCACAGGACATACTGTAAAGTGCAGTGACTGTGTTTGTTGGGTGAATGCAGCAGTCAATTTGCAAATAACAATGTCCTACAAACAGGCATGTAGAGAATGACCAATTTTATTAGTTTATTATTATTATAGTTTGTTTTATTTGGAGGATTGTTGGCCAGGACACCAGGAGAAACTCTCTTTTTGAATAGAACTTAGCATCATTAATATCCAGGCAGAAACTCGTTAAATGTGGAATTACTGATTGATTTTCCTTTTAAAAATGAATGCTCTACTAATTTTCTCTCTTTCCCTCCTATCCTGAAGGTATTTTAATGTCTCATTTTTTCCCCTTCTGCGATGTTCCACAAGCATCAGAAAATATCCTCCCCTCCTCCTCTCCTAGCCCAAGTGACCATTATTCATCTGTGAACCTGAATAGCTGAATAATAATAATGTAATATCAATAAGCCTTGCATTTTAGTCGGGAGATGTCTCAAAACATTTCCCATTGTAAAGTATAGTGACGGTGCATTTTTTTATAGAGGCATATGCGAACAGACAATATTGTCATGATATTTAGAAATTATTACCAAGTCCAATCCTAGTCTCAACCAGAATCATCAAAACCTTCTACACCTAGTTATCACACACTAGGTGTAGTGTTGCTCTAGGATGCTACCCTGTGTGAAGGGCGCTATATAATGCAAGTTGTTGTTGCCATTTAATTATTTACTTTTGGTCAGCTATGTGTGTGACTCACCGCTCATCAGTATCCAAACTAGACTTGAGAGTTCCACACATGTATGCCATCTACATATCAAAATTTTCTTGTGTCTGATATGTTATGCTTACTCTCTACCTGGAGGTATGCACCTTGCTTATCTGGTTCTGGGGAGTATTAAGTGCAGGGGGAAGGAGCCAAGACGTGAGGACACAAGCGACGTGGGTACTGCTGGAGTTTAGCTAAAATTGCATAGCTTGCCACTGAGACTACTGCCTGGCAAGCTTCTCGTTGCTTGTCCAGCTAGGACCCTACCCATTGGGGGTTTGTGTTGCAGTGGTAACAGGAGCTGAATGGGAAGATTCCATGCTGCTTGGTCTGTCATCAGCAGTGTCCTGGAGTACTGCAGACTTGCCTGGCTCAGGAACCGGACAAGCAAGACCGCCAGAGAGGGTTGACTCGATTCCAACATTCTGTTGCCAAACATGTAACTTTGGAGCCAGTTCAGCTTCAGAGAGACCACCTAACCTCCCACGAGGAGGATAGCCATGAAACAAGTCTGGCTTGGTAGCAACTGCTCAGACTTTCATTTTCAGGGAACAAAGAGGAAATCTTGCAGCCTATAAAAAATAAGACTGCTCAATGGGCTGGCGGGTGGAGGAGATTATTGAATTATTGAATACATTTAATATGAAATTATTCGAGGTGCAAACTATTGAGTGATCTCTCACCAATTTAGAGGTAGATCATTTATCTTCTCATAAATTGGTTGTGGCGTGTCCTCTTTCCCCGATCCTCCGCTCCAGTACCTAATTCATGCAGAGAGAATGTATGATCTTATTAGCAGCACAACAAATGGGTTTGAAATACAAGATTACAAAAACATGGTAATCGTACCTATAAATTAAAATAAATTACTGTGCAGCTGTGCTTTAATGCTACTTCTTTCTTGGTGGATGCATCCTTCATCTTTGGGGGTAGGCGGGGTCAGAGCTGCCTTTGATGTGCTGCTTATGTCAGCAGTAAGGACATGTTTATCAACACATCTTTAGTCACACATCTTGTATGGTGGCCACACATCCATTTATAACTTTTTGTTTTAACGCAGGAAAGTAGCAGGGCTCAAACTCGCTTATTTTTGGTTGGCCGGGTGTCTCACACAAGCGGAAACCCATGACCATGCTTAAGAGTATCCAAACCAAACCGAGAGAACTCACTTGAACC